CAACAGTTCATGAATTTATTTATAATTTATTTTATTTCATTGTTATTATTGTTATCATTTCCTTGCGGGGATTGATCATATATATATATATATATATCTATAATTTTATTTATTTATTTATTTCAATTTTTTTTTATTATTTTGTTTTTTTAAATTTAAATATTTTAAAATTTAAAAATTTCTTCTTTTCATTCCAAAAAACCACAAAAACTATTTTAGTAAAAATTTTATTTTGGTATAAATTATGGTGGGAGATATTTTGATATATATATATATATATATATATATTTAAACAAGTAAAATTGTTTAAAAAAAATTAAAAAAAAAAAACTTTCTTCATTTTCATTGCTTATGGAATTTGTTATGTTATTATATATAAAATATTAAACGAGTCAGCAACGATTTTATAGGCATCACCGTAACCGTAAAAATGATTAAAAAAGGAAACAGCTATATATCCATACTCTAAACTATTGCATGGACGCTGCTGAGTTCTCTTCTCCTTTTCCCTTTTTGCACATGGCGCTGCAAGACCATTGACCCAAAATAAGTACAAATTCGAATCGCTATATCTGTCTTGGGGTTTATAAGTCAGGAAGTGAGCAAAAAATCAAATTTGTTTTATTTTTAAACATTTTATAAACATTTTATAAAAAAATCAATATATTGCTTATCGTTCCGTGATGAATATACGAATGTTCTCTTAATCGTCCTTCTCTCAACCAATAGGGCGATTTTGTTATACTATTCAATATTGATCAATATTTTGAATTTGAACAAAAAGTTTGCAAGGAAAAGATGAAGTTCTAGCTTTACATATCTGTTCCCGAAAAGCGAACTAATAAATACTCTAAAACTATTTAGAAACGGTCTTTGGCGGACCTATGGTATCTGTCTAAAAATCGGTGTTCTTATTACTATATAAACTTTTTTCTTTTCCTGTCCCTGAAACGGCAAATCGATATTTCTGACATTACTAAATGTCCGATCGTGCTAAAATTTTGCCCCATAAAAACGCAATTTGAAAAATAATAAGAGGTCGATTTTACTTGAAAAGCAGAAGATACGACATCTTTAATCTGGAGACAAAAAATAAAAATAAAAACAAAGTAAAAACACTACAGTCGGGCAAGGCCGGTCATTAAATACGGTACACCATTTCGCTTAGTGCAATGCTCCCCTCGTTTTGCTAATAAGATCCGAAAAATGATGCAATATTTTCATAAAGGCATACTATCCATCAAAGCCCGCATATTGGACGATGCCCGTATTATCCCATGAGGTGATCCAAATTTAAATAACTTCGTCAGAGAAAACTTTAAATTAAACTTTCTATCTAGTTCAACATATTGCCTCAATCGTACCAAATATTTTATACCAGAATATCGAAGAACTATTACACAGCGACTTTTGTCAAATTTTGAAAATTATAGTTCTTCTCACAAATATAAGGCATTATATGGGGAGTGGTCGCAACAGTGGCCCTATCCAAACCGTTTTTAATACCGTTTGTCAGAACACGTCAGCGTACTAAAATTCATTTTTTTTTCTATATTGATATCTCTGCTGGTAATGAATAATTTTATATAATGGTTAAGTTGGACATACTTTAATGTATTTGAGGGCTTTTTCAATAAATTGTTACAGAGTAGATTACCACATTATAACTTTTGTGTTAGAGGCGATATGAACCCCTTCGAAACATTAAGAAGAAGTTGCAAATGAAATGTTATGTCACGGCAAAATGATGGAAAGCCATTTTGTAAGTACTCTTAGATTTGAATTTAACCGAATATAACCGACTCGAAAACTTCGCTACTTTTCTCAACGGAGGAAACCTTCTTCGTATGTGTTTACTTTGATTAAATACGAAATGATTAACTCATACCTCCAAGAGATAAGTTTTTACTCTTAGCACATGAACCATTTAATAAATCCTAAATGTTTATATAAACAAATAGAATTGCTGGATAGTACCAATCTTCGAACGTTACATGTCAAACTTTTATGACATTCTGACAATTAGTGTGCAAGTTAGAATTGTTTTAGTGTTCGGCTTCAACGGCTTTCACCGATCTTTCCCCGCTCGCCTGTTTGCCAACTTCATTCTTCCACCATGTTTCATCCATTGTTGCATATCGCATGAAAAACTCTTATTTATTCCGCCTAAAGAGCTCGAAAAGCGCTGCTGCCGAAAGTGACAGAGACAAATGTCAATGTAAAATAGCAAATATATAGTCGGTGCCCATACGATATATATAATGTGTCGGCTATTTCATGCAACTTTTCGGTCCTTTAAAACTATTTTGCGAACTTTTATTATGTCTTTCGGAAAAACTACCGAAACCACCAGAGCGTTCAACATTTATCGATATCCATACGACTTTGCTTAAGATTAGTAAGCCCCTGACAAGAAAGGCGCATCTTTCAAATCAATTCTGATTGTCTAGAACGTCTGTGAATGTCTAGCCAACAAATAGAATTCCGATTTTTCCATTGCTTTGATCCTTACAAAAGTGGGGTCCCTAAAACTGCTGTAACTTGGCAAAATGTGATGAAATTTTGGGAGATTAGTACTATCAAGAAATCATAGGGTTGTCAACAACGGGGCTACATACATGGCAGAACGAATATTTATTGAACGATGTGATATATAACGAACTAAGGACGTAGGGTACACTTTGGGAGATAAGCCTGTTCAGTACTATAGAGCGGAATAAATTCGAACTAAAGAACGGTTTTTCTAGGCTGCTAAAATAGGTAACCCTTTGCTTCGAATCCAGAAAATCCTTGATTCGAAAAATGTCAGAAAATACTGAGGTGATAATTTACCGAAGACGATATGTAAGCTGAATGCTAGATTTGGAAGTGAGAGTCCATATGGCCACGTTTTTTTTTTTTTTTAGTATAACCAATTACTCCTGATATGGCCTGGATTTGTACTGGGAAAGAGAAAGGGATAAAAAAGTGACTGCATCCTTTCGGGCATTGCTAATATCAAAAAAGAGAGGTAAGGAGTGGCTGCAGTTTGAAAGGTGCGCCCTGGATGATGGTAAGTATACTGCTTTTACCGACCTAAATATACGACAACACTCCAATCATGATAAAAATATGACATACTACGCTAACGATTTCATCCGAGTATGCGCACTTGAACGCCTGCCTTCTTAGCTACTTTCCTATGCGGTGTATTTTAAACTAAACGGATTGATTTACAAGTCAGATATCTCTAGAAGATTTTTCCATTCGTTCCTGTCGCGAAAGCTTCAATCTATTGTGTCTAAAGGCATACGAAGAGAGAACATGTCGTTTATCGGTCCATCTGTGGGTTAGCCTAAAAGTGGCAGAGAAAGGCATTTTGTATGGATGTGCCTCCTAACAAGTGAAGACGGAACCTTTTTTATTTACATCTTGAGTTTTATGTTCTCGATTGGAGTAAACCATTATCACGACGAGACTTTTGCAAAGGGCGCGTTTTTTTGTTATTAGAAGCTCCGAAGATTATTTCCTCAGAGAAGAGAAGATTTTCTTCAAATTTCAATTAGGGCCCGGATATGCCTTTGAAGGATTATTAACATAACTGTTGACAGGAAGTTAGCCTTTTACGTTCCATCGCGGAGCGAAAGTACAGCTTACGAAAGAAGATCTATTGCCAGCCGCGTGTTGACGTAGAAAAACAAATTAGTGCTTATTGTGGTAAAAAAACAAATTCGATCCGGTTTTTTAAGATTTTCAACTTGTAAAGAATAAAAAAAGTTGAAGAAAATGCAAGCGTTTTATCTCTGAGAACTTAAAAAGCCCCAGCGAACAAGTAGATCTTTTTAACTTGTTTACTTGTATTTTCTGCCTTGTCTGTCTGTCGATGCTTCTGTCTATTTACTGGACGCAACTATTGAGATATTCTGATGAAACTTGCAATGCTAACGTGCTTTGGTCGAGGAATGAACTCTATTCAGACCACTTTTTCGCCCACGTCCCAGGTAACAACTTTTGTTGAAAAGTCATTAAACAAATGACTGTATTATTATGAAGTGACGTACGGTAAGGGCCTTGTTCTATCATATTGTTTGTACTTGTTTTATAGGCAAGTCGTAGTATTTCGCTTGTAACAAGGATAAATGGTCTGCGTTACGAATAATTAGACAGTTTCCTTTGATAGATACGCGCAACATCTATGTGAAAGTTTTTAATATTTCGCCTAAAATATTGGCGCCTAAATTAAATTGATAAAAAATAATAATAATAATAATAATAATGATAATTATAAAAATGTGAACTTATTGTTATTAGATTCTTAACTTATTTTTTATCATTTAATTTTATATGTTTTAATTACTAATACAATTTTTCATTCATTTTTATTCATTTACAAATTTTTTCTTATTGTTGCTTCATAAATAATCTAAAAATTAATTATCTTTTATCTAATAGTATTTACGAGTATATTATGGTGTCGTAATATATACTTATGTATATTATATTTTCTTAATTTTCAATTTCCATTATTGTACAATAATACTTGGATGTCCTTTCGACTAAATATGTTTCTAATACAAAAAATTGCTATATTTTACCTTTTCTTCTTTTACAAAACACTTTGTAAATTTTCTAGACTACTTTCTAGGCTGTTGAAAATGAAACTCTTAGCAAATAAAAATCATCATTTTATTATTCTATATACTCTATATATATATATCTATAGATCTATGTTACAATGCTGATAATGATGATGTATTAAAAATCTTATGCAGAAATCGCTAAAGTATTGTACAACGTCCTTTATTTCTATTTGATTGTGAAAATTCGGTGCCAATGACACCACCAGTACTGGTACAACCCATTAATTCACGAAATACATCACCAATTTTATAGTTATACCTGTAGGAATGAAAGAAAAAAATTCACTATTATATGCTATATGAATGTATATAAGAGTTAATTAACACCTCACTCAATAAATTGGTAGGATGAGATATAGATGATGCCCCTATTGAAGAATCCATATGACAGACAAATGATACCCCTTTACGAGCGATATGTTGACATATTTTCATAGCATTCCAAACAATAGTTTACAGTTGTTACAATTGTTTTAATAGAGTTACTTCTGTAATCTGAATTTTATTTCTTCATAAAGGGAAGACTACCGTTTAAGCAAAGCAATGGTTTCAAATCTGTTATTTGGTCTCTACTTCATGTAGCAAACACTCGAAAAAGTGTTTGATGATATGACAGTAAAAAAAGTGCACAAAAGTAATTTCGATCAGATCAAAAAGTGAAGTTTACGTGGAGTAATTGACACCTTAACAATATCAGAAGGCAATCTATATACTATTTCGCATAAACATTTGTCGACGAGAAAGCTCTATTTGAGGTAGATACCGCGTTTGCTTACTTTCGATCAAAACCAAGAATATATTGATGATTCAACCCACTTTTTTTAAATGTATGCGAAAAATGAAAAGAATTTTTTCATGCAACTTGCGACAGTGGATGAGACATGGATTCATCAATACACTTCAGAGGCATATTGATGGTCAACCGAGTGGTTAGCCATCCAAAATGCAAAAGTGGAGTCGGAACTTTATGGCGGCCGCATTTTAGCATCCGCATGGTGTAATATATATCGAGTATCTTCAAATAGGGCAAGGGACCAATAATGAATGTTATATAGCGAAAGAGAAAAAAATACTCCTCCAACAAGAAGATATACTATTTGACAAGGAGCCCCAAACAATGACGCAGTATCACGAATTTCGAATTGTTCCCACATCTACTCTGCTTTTCACATTTAGTTACGATCAGAGATTTCAAAAAAATGGCCACCGGAAAGAGATATGCCTCTAATGAAGAGATGACAGCGGAGACTCTTGGACGAATTGTTTTAAAAGAAAGCCATAATAATAGCCCCCTTGAAGGCTTATGTTAATGAATAAAGTCGAATTTTTGGTTGTTTTATTAGTAGCCCTCCGAGCTTATTGAGTTATGTGTATCTGAGTCGCAAGGTTTCCACTTTCTCTCTTTAAAAAAAAAAAGAAGAAAATTATATTCGGTCTTGACCGAATCTTTTATTCCCATCACCATGATCCTAAAAAAAGGAGAAGAACTCAATTTTCATACCCTACGATATCGGATGGGCTCGGTTGACTTTTCTATTTTCCGGAGAAAAGTGGAAAAAGTTGTATATGTTATGCTTTATGAGCAACCAGGAAAATACACAGAAAGCAAAAGTATTCGCAGTTTTTTTACACAAGCGCGGTAGGCGTTTTCGTTGAAAAGTTTCAAATTCGCAAAAGCGTATTTGCGCACAGAAGAATGTTTACTATAGACACTTTACGGTTCTTCAGACGGGTGGATGAAGGGACGGACAAGTTTAGGTATATTCTAAAGTCGAAAGTGGTTAAGAATTTATATACTTTGTGTCGTTTTTCAAGATTGCTTTTGTGTGTTATATAAAAGTTTTGAAAAAAGATGAAACTATGACACACACACGCATAGAATGTACGGTCAAATTTTTGTAGATATATCTGTTGTAGTGTATGATTAATGAGCAAAATACCACTTTTTTAAACCTTGTGAAAAGCATATATGTGCCCAGTTTACGTTATACTGTGAGGGTGTTCTTCAACCGATTTGTCCTATTTTCAAAAGTAAGCTGCGTGCAAGACCGTCCAAAATTTCTCCGCAAAATTTAAAGTCTACAGTCAGGAGAATGTTTACAAGAAAAATTTTACACAGACGAGCGAATCGACAGGCGGACATGCTTAAATTAATTTACAATTTGATGCTGGATAAGAATGTATAGACCGTAAAAAAATGAATATATCCTTCATCCTTCGGTAAAGGGTATAAATGTCGTTAGTATTTCAATACTTACTGCGCTGAGCACTCTACATAACCACAGCGCCAATGTTTACGTACTAAAGTGGAAATATCTTTTAACTCCTGCAAATATAAAAATCATAAATGAGAAAAAAAGAATAAGAAATTATAAATTCTACAAGAAATATATATTCAGATTTTAGATCGAAACTTGATGTAAAAATGATATATCGTTTCGTATATAACGCTTATCATATTTTGTCGAATTTCAATTTATATTTTCTTTAAATCATTATACATGACTTGGGCGGAATTTTTATAGGCTCATTACTAATTTGTAAAAGATATAGCTAGTATCGGCTGACAATATATCTACATTGCCTCATAATATGTTAGCTTGTTCAGAGAGTTTTTCTTATTTTTTTTTATTTTTTTTTTTACCACAATGAAAGATCTTTTTTTTTTTTATTGGGAATGATCAAATGCGATAGATGTGATCTCTCAGCAAACTTACGAATCGTTACTTATTGATTTGCATGAGTTCATCGCATCATGAGCTACTAATATCAATATTTTGTACGGCAGGTTTATCACCGGTCTTCTGTCAATACATCTTCTTCATACACATACAATAATTTTGACCTTGCTTAAATACCATTTCTATTTTAACGATAGCAAGGAACGAAAATATGACGGATTTTTTTTGGCTTTCGACTTTCAAACCAAGTTATCCTGCTGAATCAAACAAGTCTTTTCAAAGATAAGCCTTCCTAGACTAGGTGTTAAATATTTGGTTAAATTATTTAAAACTGCTTACCTGTGAATTTGCTTGTGTTTCAGTTATTGTATCAAATTTATTGCCAACTACAATTAAACTAAAATCACGATGACTAAAACTATCCAATATTTGATCTCTCATCGATCTGCAATACTGTAAATAAAAAAAAATATACCTCATTTGTATTTCTTTTGTTATTTTTTGGTTTATTCTTCTTTGGTAATGTTTGTTCTCATTCTTATTCTAGTTCTTATTCTTTTTCTTATACATAGTCTTATTCGACTTCTTATCCTTATTCGTATTATTATTTTTACTCATATTCTTATACTTACTCTTACCCTTATTCTTATTATCTTATTCTTATCTTATACTTAATCTTATTTTTACACTTACTCTTCTTCTTATTCTTATTATTATACATATTCTTACTCACTCCTTACTATCGCTCTTATTCTTACTTATTCTTACTCTCATCCTTACTGTCATCCTTATTTGTATCTTGCATTCACTCTTTTTCTTCTTCTTCCATTTTCTATGCTTATTCGTTCTTGTATTCTTGACCTTATCCTTATTCTTGTCCTTAATCTTATTCTTAATTTTGTTTTACACTTACTTCTATACTTACTTTTTTCTTTATTTTTACTGTTGTCCTTATTATTCTAATTCTTATTCTGACTCTTACCCTTATTATTGCTCTTCCCATTCTCGTTGTTTTTTTTCCATATTCCATAATTGCCCGTATTCCTATTCTTACTCTTTTTCTTGTCTTACATCTACTCCACTTACCCTTATCTTACTCTTCCCCTTATCTTACTCTTCTTGTTCTAATATTTCTTATTTTTATTCTTTCTTCTGTTCTTGGCATTATTCATATTCTTGGTTTTATTCAGATTCTTATATTTGCTCTTTCTCTTATCATTATTATCATTCTTATCCTTATCTTATATTTACTCTTACTCTTGTTCTTGCTCTTATTATTATTCTTGTCTTGCGTTCAATCTTATTCTTACTTTTACATTTATGCTGTTTCTTCTCTCTCATTCATATTTTTATTCGTACTCTTATCCTTATTCGTATCTTACATTTACTCCAACGCTTACCTTTATTATTACCTAACTCTCCTTCTTTGTCTTGCTGTTTTTCTTCTTTTTTTTTTGTCTTACACTACTTCCTTTTGCACTTACTTTCACTGTTATTCTTATTTGTCTTATTCTTATTCTGACTCTTACTCTTATTATTTATATGATTATTTTTTGTCTTATTTTTCGTATTATTATTATATTCGTACTTCTATATATATATATATATCCTTATGTTTATGTATGTTCATATATGATTCTGCGAATTACCCGAAATGTTTCCAAATTTCCCATATCGAATACTAAAACGTAGGCATGGACAGTTCTCAGTCCAAGTGGATGACCGTTATTCCATTCGGCAAAATTATCTTCAGGAAACCGTTTCTGTAATTGCCATTGCCAAAAGAAAAAGAAAAATTTCATAATTGCTTGTCTTCCCGATTCTTAACTTTTCATGTTTAATTTTCTTATCACTGACATTTCTTAAACTTTTACTAGGGCAAATTTTCATAAAGGAAATTTAATTGCACTTTTCCTCTTATTTTTATAACTCTTTTCTTTTGTAAAAACATAATTGCAAACACGTCTAATACCCTGCACAGAATAACTTTGAAAAGTAATTTTCACCAACAAAATGTAAAGCAAGGATGATGCAAAGGTGACATGATAAGTGAAGAGAAAGTATAGTCTTTTTTTTCGCGAATTTTTTTTACACGACTTGATATGTGAGAAATAATGTTTATATGCAAATTTTGATTAACTGTTAGACAACCAACTTAAACTTGTTTAAAAATTATTCGAAGGATTTTGTAAAATATTTTTCTTTTTTCTATCTTACACCCTTTGCGGTACAAGGTGTACTAACTTAGTGTGGTCGAATGTAACAGGCTGAAGCGCTTAAGATAGACCCACCTTTTATTATACCGATCGATTCAGAATTATAATCTGAATTGATCTAAGCCTATTTGTCCGTCTGTCCCTCTGATGTCTGTCTGTCCATGTAAATTTGTGTTCAAACGACGAACAGCGACGTGTTTTAATTGGATCGGTCGACTTTTTCGACCACTCTCCAGAGAAGACCCTATTCTAAAAAGTCGTTATATGGAAAAAAAATTGTAATTTTCAAAATATCTCCGCAAAATTGACTAAATTGTAAGTAATACTTCGGCATTCAAACTTGGTATGAAAACTTTGGACGGCTGTGGCAATTTTTGAATCCCCTCTCATATAACGAAAACGGAAGTTCATACGACAAAATGGTATAATTTTCAATATAACATAAAAAAATGAACTGTTGAAATTTGGCCCATCTCGGTCTATTTTTAAATCCGACCCTATGCAAAGACTAAACATGTACTGCATTAGATTGCGTTTTGGACTCTCTTCCCGATAAATACGCACTTGAAAAATATGTCTTTATATAGAAACAAGTTATAATTTTTGTTTTCTATAATAAAAATAAGAAATGTGTTAGACAATGCGGTGTAGGGTATTTAAGGTTGACATTACCCGACTATAATGTTCTTACTCGTTGTTTTTTTATCTAAAACAAGCGTATTGCGCGAACAAACACGCAGACTTGAGTTTACAAATATTTTTTTTGCTCTATGGCGTGTCATCGTAAATTTTTAATTATAAAGATTATCGCAAGTGGATTAAAACGAACTTTGGCTTAGTTTAAGTGTAAGATAAGAAGTTAGAGAAATTTTCACTTTACGCTGAGAATTTTATAAAAGTGACACAACATTGTCTTGAACTTTCAACGCTTCGTTCGCATTCATTCGTTTATCGATTTGTTTTAACTTTCATCTAATAAAATCAGTTCTTGTAGACAAATATGACAAATTCCAAAATCATGTCCTGACTAGCTAGTTAGGGATTTTCTAAGTGAACTTATCAACCGTAAACTAATAAACGCAGTTAAGCAAGAAAGTAAAAAAGTTTAATTATCACTGTAAATTTTATAAGCTCAACAAACAAAGTTCCAAAGTACTTTATAAATTGCGGGCGTGTGACAGAAACTTATTTACTTAGACCTTTAAAATAGTAGGAGAAAATATTTCTATAGAGAATTTTAGTTCAACACGTTTTCATTGAATTTTTATTTATTCTAATGATACTTGTGGATGGATCAGATCCATCCAGTTTAAGAGAAATTTTGAAATTTTAGATATTTTCTTCGATTTTTAGATTGTCAGAACAAACACCTGGACATAGTCTTGAGTTGTATCTCTGCCTTCAATCATCATTGCAAGTTTAATAATTGTTTTGCCTGGGGCAGATCACACCCATTTGCGTTCTTGAAATGTGAACGTCTTCCGAAACTGTACATCTACCGTTCACGCCTTGTACGTCAGTTTTACGATTTGAATTTTCGACGAACAGATAGGCATGTAAACAGGTGTTCGCACAGACAGATACGCAATCGGGGGCAGAAAGCTAAGTTAACTTAAATTGGTTTACAGTGTACGTAGTTGCTGATTTTGGGCACCTTACATGTTACAAATAAAAGGAGAAATCTTGCAGACTTCCATCTTCGATTTGTGAATAAAAAAATGCAGAATTTTTCTCTTGTTGAATTGATATCAATACAAATATGTTTCATTACATTTGGCTTAATTTTGGAAAAAGAATTCTGAGCATGAAATGTTTTCAACTACTTACCTGCGGTGGCACATCGACAACCATCAGCTCCCGTATGCAAGTATCGCATACCAAACAGCTTTTATACACCTTACGTTTTGTTGTTGTTTGATGTGTTCTCGGAAAGTCATGATAGAAGAATTGCTAAAATTAAATGAAAATTAAAGGTTTGCTTCTTTTTTTTTTTTTAACATCGTTATTAGACATATCACATTACAGCGGTTGGATGATAAGTGCCAGTAGCGAGAAAGATTTCAACTACACGTCCCATTGGGCAATATTAGGTAATATCCAGAATGTATTTCAAGCCCATATCGATCGATTCAAAGTCATGAGCTGAAACGATTTAAGCTTATATGTCTATCTGTCCCTTTAATGTCTATCATTGTATTTGCATCTTCAACCTACCCGTCGTGACACCGACGTGGTATAAGGAGGAATGCTACTGAGAATGAATTAGATAGGATCGATTCTACGATTACTTCCAAGAAATATTTGAATGAAGCCTTACTGAGAAGACAAAAATTTTGGAATACTAAAGAAATAGACAAGGTTTGCATCAGATGGGAATCTCTTTTGCTCTCAAATTGATCTTTATATGGCAAGTATGTTGTATTTTTAGAATTTTGTGAAAAGATTTTAAACCAGAATAGATATTTGACGTACAAACTTGTTGTGGTATGTGTGGGCCTCGTGAAATTAAGTGAATTGTAATATCAAGCGAAGAGGTGTAGGATATTTGAGGGTCGGCTCTATCGGACAAGAGTACTTTTGCTTGTGCAAGTTTGCAAGTAAATAAAACTTTTATCCGAAGATGTACAGTTTTGCAAATAGTTTACGGCAAGGAAAGCTTATAGTAAAATAGTGACCTGTAAGCGACGGCTCGTGGAGGACAATAAAGTGTTCCCTGCTTTCTGAAAAGCTTGACGAGTCAAAAAGAGACCTACAACGGAGATCAGGAAAGTCTTAACAGTCTATTTGATGCTTACAGAAAAAAAGGGAATTGATGATCGTCGGCGATTTCCTTGACAATCCATTAAATGTCAATGAAACGTAGCTTTTTTAAGAATCACCACTGGGTGAAATTCGTATCAAAATGATTGCCTGGCAGATTATGATTGCTGTTTTCTGCAATAAAGAAGGGATCGTGTGTCAAAAATACTAGATGAACCTTCTTGATACTGTGCGGTTTGTATAACGGGCAAAAGCGAGCTTCAAAAACCCTAAAAAGTATGTAAATTCTTGGCCAGTTTCAAATTTGTCCCTCTGTTCGTCCGTCCATCTGTTCGTGTGTGCAACTGCGAGGTAGTTTTGGTTAACACGCTCCCTTTCGCAAATATGAAGATATCGCCTATAAACCAGCAAAAGAATTTGAAAATTATCCACAGTGTTCAAAGAATACTCTCACAATGCCCACACGCGTATGCATTTTATATTTGCTACTCATAAAGTAAAGCACATAAATCATATAAACTCCCACTTTTATTCCGAAAGTAATAGAAAACAGTCACGCCCATCCAATACTAAAGAGTGTGACAACTTAGACCTTTTCCAATTTTTGTAGTCTTTTTTTTTGGGACAACAGTGCTGGGTATAAAAGATTCGCAAAAAGGTCGCAACCGAATGTAATTTTCTTACTTGTTCCCCTTTCAGATGTGCTTATACAAATGTTCAGGCCCGTTGCGGCCTGAAAACCTTTTCAGAATGACCAATTATGACGATATTTTAAAATCTGAAGAACTGCCAGCTAACTGCGATCGATGTCGTTGAGGTCTTCGTTGTATTAAATAGATTAGATAATAAAAAAGCTATTGAATATTTGAGCTAATTATCCTAAATAATTTAAAAGAAATTTTCTAATGTAAATTTGCCTTCCTTTAGAATCAGAGATTCCTAGTTCGATAACAAATCACAGATTGGCTTGACCTTAGTTGTTCTTCTGGTTGAAATGAGCATAAATAATAACAAACCTACTTAGCTTCTAAACCGTCAAAATAACATAAGAATAATTTTTGCATGTTTTTCCATTAACTTGTCATACAAGTTTTGCAAAAAAATAATTTCTCATCGTGTCAGTATATTAGTCAGCTAACAGCACTCTTTTGAAATTGTCCAGAAAAAAATTTAGAATAAGAAAAAAATTTAAGATAAGAATTTATTGGAAGAACCTTTCTGCTCTTTCACTATATCCACAGTCTTTTGATTTTCATATGACATTTTTTTCCGTTTTCAAGTACAAACACTATACCGTTTTTCCAGCTTCTTTATCTATAATCTCACCTGATCGTCACACCAGTTTTAAAGGTGGCATTATCTGACACACATGCTTGGACACGCATATGCACACACATATATATGAACGTATATATAATGTGTCTATTCATTGTGCATATATTTGCATTTGCATCCAGACGACATAAAGCACATTTTAAAGGTCGTAAGACCTTTCCTCTTCTCATTTGTCCCCCAGCTGTGAGAGGCAAAATTGTTGCTCTTATGATACGCCTAAGAGACGAGAAAACACTAAGGAATCAACATATTTTGTGTCACTTATGACTAAGGCCCCTTATTAGCTTACAGTGTTTCAAAAAATTCTGGGCAGATGGAAATAAACACATTTTGTAAGCAACAAGTAACGAAAGCAAATGCACTACGTACTAGCCGCTAAAGTGATACATCCTATAAATTTTCGGATTTATTTTATAGCTGAATAATCTGTAAAATATTTACATTCTTGATCAGGGTAGCATCTCAAATCAATTTAGTTATGTTCTAACAATAAACGATTTTTCAATATTGACAACAAAGTCGAAAATTCGCGGCTCCAAGTCAAGCATTAGGAACGCTATGCTGTATATCGAAATTATCATTTAAAGATTTTACCGACATCATGCAATAAAAGAAAAACACGTCAAAAAATTATAGTCAGGCTAGGCCGACTATTAAATGCCATACGCCGTATTATCTAACACAATTCCTATTTTTGCTATAGAACACAAAAATTATATCCTTTTTTTATATGAACTTCTTATTATGGAACGCTATACTAAAACTCAAACCTCTTTAATCTAAAAAATATAAATTTTCCTGAAAATCCTTATATAGGGTAGGATCTAGAAATTAGGCCAAGATGATTCCAATTTGATTTTGTCTTAAACTACTACTATGATCTGATTTTCATCATCAAGATTTGAAAATTAGACCTGTTTGTCATATGGGTGGGTTAAAAAATTGTCCCTGCCGCCCAAAAATTTTTATACCAACTTAGAATGTTAAAATACTGCTCCTTAGCCACTTTTGTCGAGAAAATTTGATAATTGCAATTTTTTCAGAGTAAGCCGTCGAACCATTTTCAATACCGTTCATCCTTGGGTCAAAACAAGTCACTGTACTGAATTTTGCTTGAACACAAACTTACATGGACAGAATTCAGACGGACTGACAAGCTTAGAACAACTCAAATTATGATTCTGTATCGATCGGTATAATAAAAAGTGGGTCTATCCTTCCTTGCGCGTGTTACATATGTCCGCACTAACTTAATATGCCCCATAGCACGAGTAGTGTAGGATATAACGATCGTAAAGCGTCAAAAGGATTAAAATGCTATACAAACTCTATCGACAAAATTGTTTCGGATATATCGAACTGAAAGGTCTTACAACACTAGTTAACAGCTGACGAAGAATGGGGTCTTACAAAAAGGTACTTTTCTCCGTGCCCCAAGAAAAGTATAAAGAATAACGGGCCGATGAAAGATAACACTTTTCGTGATTATTTTGCAATGATTTTTGATAATAAAGTTAATTGGCGGCTTAAGATCCACAGTTTCCTTAAAAATCAACCCTTCAACGGTGTTTAATTGTTATTGTTCTTACCTGTAAAATACTGGTTTTTCCGACGCCAGAAGCCCCCAAAAATGCCGCTTTAAGGGGGCCCTGTAGCCATGGGGGCTCTGCACCACCCTCCAGAGTGATACGCTATGCTGAAATGCACTTATTCTGTATATGGATTTCCATTGCAATTGAGATCTTGGTCGACTTAGTAGAATTATCACCGACATAGTCAACGCTGCGTGTACTGCCTATTAAGAGCTTGTTTGAATTTGTCGGCGATATCGTGCTCCACATCATATATATATATATATATATATATATATGTATAAAAACAATGACGGCTTTAAAAGCAGCTTTCACTTTTAATTGGATTTATTGTGGCGTAGTTAACACCCTTTGTATTTTCGTAATTATTTTCAAATTTGTTTGCTATGATTATCTGTTCAGGATTTGTGTTTTTGGTTGTGTTCGCCTGCTATAGAAAAAAGGTTTTTGCTTTCATGTCTTCTTCTGTTAATTGTTTTTGAATATTTTGTTATTGCTTTTAGATGTTGATTGTTTTCGTTTTTTCCGTTTGTTTTTTTTTTTTTTTTTTGTTTTTCGTTTATTTTGTTTTTTTTTTTTTTTTTTTTTGTTCTGTTTTGCTTTTGTTTTTCTTTGGGAAAATAATGCAAAATAACGCAATAAATAAGGTCAGTTTTCTTTATGTATGTGGGAATGTGTGTGGCTGTGTTTATTTTTATTTTTTTTGTTATTATTTAAATAATGGTTTATGTATTCAGTATGCAGTTGATCGTTGTTACTGTTGTAGCATTTATATAAGGCTAAGCGACAACGTTGGCCTAAAAATAAAATTCAAAATAAATGCTTTAATAAAATTTAAGTAAAAATCTTCAATGTTTTTTGTACTAATTCCTATGTTTTTAGAAGAATCGAAGCAATCATTGTTGTCTGTTCGTTAGGGCGAAGACCATAGAAAGTATGTTGTTTAAACAATTTTAGTATTGACCTTTTATTCCTACCATCGAAGGGTGAGGGGTTTATTCATTTTGTGAAAATTCATGTCCGTCTGTCCGTCTGACCGTCTGAGTAACGTCTTTTGCAAACATTCTCCTGGCCGCAAAAATGAAGCTATCGACATTAAATTTGGCAGAGGGATTGGAAGTTCTTGCACGCAGGTTAATATTTAAAATGAGCCAAAACGATCGAAGTACACCCCCGCCCGCAACGACACGTAAACTGAGAATATCTCTATTTTTCAAAAGGAATGGAAAATTTGGTTAATTGCTTGTTACTCATAAACTATAGCAATTTCAATTTTTATTCTTGAAATAGAAAAGAAACGACCGCGTCCATCCAATATTATTCGACTATGAAAATTTAACTCATTCCGTTAATTTTAAGAATCACGATTATGGGTATAAACGATTCGGTCACTGCCGAATTTTCTTACTTGTTTTGTATTCACATTGTTTTCAAACATTATTTCATTATTTCAACTCCAATGTAGAATGAAAAATGTTAATGAAGCTGAAAATTATATGAAACTTTTAAGAGAGGAGACTAAAAATGGCTTCGTCGTAACTTAAAAATGAAAAGAAATAATTGTCTACCAGAATACTTACATTTATTTCATTAAAAGGCCACTAGAAGTAACACCAACAACTAATGGCACAATCACTATTATTATATATACATATATATATATATATATATATATATATATATACAGAATTTCTTTACGGTAGAGTAGAGAAAAGTAGTTTGCCAACAAGTATATGTGTGTGCATGCATGCATGCATGTATTTATGTGAAGAAAGCGTCGCAGCATATATATATATCTACACCGACCAACATGGCGGCAAGAAAATAAAGTTTTGATTTTACAAATTCACTTTTACCCAAAGCCTTTTACACTAAAATTTTATGATTTATAAGCATAGAAAATAGGAAATGCTGCGAAATGTAAGTAAACAACAATTAATTTGCTTGCTTGGCAGCGAAAGTTAAAAAAAAGAGGAAGAAGAGAATGCCATTTTAATTGAAAAAAGTGTAAAAATATTGTTGCCCTTAAGCCGACAGCCAAGTCATCATTTCTTAAGATAATATTTTTACTTCTGGACTAATCAGTTAATCGATATAAATGATTTGTGTGTAGACCCACCTTTTGTTATACTCGTCTTTCATCTTTTGTTGTTAGAGTCATTTTCTGATTCGAGTTAACCCTATCTATCCGTGTATTGATAGTCAAAGTATTTTTATCTTCTACTTTCAGTTCACAATTTCCAAGAGATTTTCATGAAATTTGGTATACCAACGTGCATTGATCAAACCTATTTAAAATGATTCGGGGTGGATCACTTTTACGACTACTCCCCATATAACGCTTTAAATCGTTAGAAAAAAATTATTGTGTAAAATTTCGCGGATAGACATCAAACGGACGTATGGACGCACGGACAGAGAAGCTCGGACCGACGCAGAAATTGATTTTGAATTGATCGTGAATCTAAGCGCTTCTAGTTGTTACATGCATCCTTACAAACTTAGTGTGCCCTGTACCTCAAATAGAGGATAGAATATAGAAATCGATTATAGGTCGGTTTATGTAAATAGAAATCACTACAAAAAGATCTTTGAATTTTGTATACTTTCCAATCATTTGATATTGAAAAGTTGGAGAATGTAAAACTAACCCACCGCGTCGTTCCAGTGTTAAGGATTTGAAATATATTTTGCCTTTAAAGAACGTGTGATATACAAAGTGGTTCACGTTGGAAGAATTCTTCTTCTTTTTATTTTAAGAAATATTACCAATAAAGAATAAAAAAATAAATACATATTTTGGTGTGTAACAGTTTCGTCCTGAAGATAAAAAATAATTCTGGTGTGTTAACGGACAAACAATTAAAAGGAAAGAAAAAAATTCTAATTGCATCCGACCATTATTGTAAAGTTTTTTGTATCAGATTTTTACTCTTTTCATTTGACTCTGACTGTTTATTTACTCACCTCCTTCCGCTTGCAAAGAAAAACTTTTTATCAATAATCTCGGTGGATTCGAAGCGGAAAAACTTTTGGTAGATTAACATAAAAAATGAAGAAGAAAATTATTAACAAAATTAAAGCGGAAAAGTAAGAAAGAAGGGTAATTGTCATAAGATTATTAAATATACCGCACTATTTGGGACGTAATTTTTAATGATTGATTTCCGCTTTAGGTAATAACATAGCGCTTTTTTCTACCCCTAAGTGATAAAAATAATAACAAGTAAGAGAATTAAGATCGTTCGGGAGGAAATCTTTTATACCCATCATCGTTTTCCCCCCAAAAAAAAGACAAAAGAAGTGAAACAATAAAATTCTCATGCTCTATAATATGGAGTGGGCTTAGCTGATTTCTTCTATTTTCGAAATAAAACCTTTTTTTGGACAGGCATGTGGGGTTTTAGGCGTGCCCTTTGAAAAGTTTAAGTCACTTCCAACATCATTTTCAAAATTTTTAGGTGATATCTACATTTTTATTCATGGGAGAATGTTTACCATAAGTGCTACACCGATGCGCAAACAGGAAGATTGACAGACGAACAGGCAGACATGTTTAGGTGCATCCAAGATTTAAGACTGGCCAAGACTTTATATAATTGATAGGGTTTTTCAAGCTTGTTTCTGCTTGTTATAAAGGCATTGAAAATATGATTTAATTTTGACACAGGTAGGCGGGGTCAATTTTTTTTCCTTTTTGTACACAAATGCTACAGAATCATTCGGAGAATATGCTTTCAAATTTTTGTACATATATTTGCTATAGTTTATGAGTAATGAGCAATAAACACATTTTTCATTCCCTTTGAAAAACATAGGTGCTCTCAGTTTACGTGGTGCTGTTGGCATGTTATTCGACCGATTTGGGTCATTTTCGATATCAGCCCGCATGCAAGAACTTCCAATCCCTCTGCCAAATTTAAAGCCGATAGCTTTATTTTTGCGGCCAGGAGAATGTTTTCAAAACACTTTACGTAGACGATCAGACGGACAGACGGACATGCTTAAATCAATTTAGAATTTCATATTTATCAAGAATCATACTTTGTGGGGTCTCTGATGCTTCCTTCTGGACCTTGCAAACGTTTCAACAACACGAATATACCCCTCATCTTTGGTGATGGATATAAAAAAGGAAAGGTTCAAGACGAAGCTGTAATTGAAAGTACAACTGACAGAATTAAAAGTAATTTTCAATGTAATTTTCAATATAATAAAACCCTTTGGATTGTTAAGGGCTCTTTCCTTAGGAGCGATTATAAGTTTTTGCTTCAAATATATTTGTTTGGATACTTCCATATGTTAAAATATTCAGCCACTCACGTTTGGTGAATGACTTGGAATCAGCAAAAAGTACAAGATCGCTTGGAAGTGCTTCTCGTTTGTTCACGAGAGAACTGGTTTCCCATCACCGTGTCGCTACACAGGCCGCCGCGCCTAGTTAGTTAATACGCATCGATTTTTATCTTTAGAGCTACATCCAAGTCCAGCTCTAGGCTGGCAGCCTGTAAACTTTACAAGATTTGGAAATGACCATTCGCCAGGCTATCGCAGATATAACGCAACAAATTTGGATGGATTGATTAACATTTGGAGCGGGCGTGTGCATCAGTGTGTTCAAAGTCGCGGTGGCCATTCGAACTATATTTTGCTCAGACCATAACTGCAGTGCTTCTAAATAAAACACAATTTAGTTTGATTCGTTGAATTGTTTTTATTTTTTTCAGTTTTCAAAAACTACCTTTCTACCCTTTATTATCTACAGCACTTGTAGTACAGGGTATATTAAACTAGGGTGGACGTATGTAATACCTAGAATAGTTCAGGACTCATAATTCATTATACCGATCTATTCAGAATCATTTTCTAAATCGTTATAAGTCTCCCCATCCTTCTCACGTTAGTGCAGACCTATTTAACACCCACAAGGGCTTCAGATAGACCTCACTTTTATTATACCAATCGATTAAAAATCATTTTCTAAATCGATCTGTCCGTCTGTCCAGGTGATATCTTTCAGTTCAAAAGTAGTAAGTTCATCTAAAGGCAGGGTATAATTTTTGTAGTCTACGGCGCAAAAAAGGATTGTGTTAGACAATGTGATGTATGGTATTTAATAGTCGGCTTATCCCAACTATAATGTTTCCACTTCGTTTAGTTTAATTTGCTTATTAATAGTAATAATTATTAATGACAATTTGATTATAGAATAATAATCATTACTTTAATAATTAATTACAATTCCATTATAGAATAATAATCATTACTATAATTAATAATTAATTGGCGAATAAGGTAATAAAATCTCTTTCGCCACAATCGTGAACAAGAGTAAAGATAGAGATATAAAAAGCATAACATAACAATATCGTACAATCGTATCGTACAATATAGGAAATAAAGCCAATATCCAGATATGATTAGAAATAACAAGAGGTCTTTATAGTTAGATTAAATACACTTTGGTTCACAATCATTTTGATACCGAGTTATAATGAGTTGCTTGACTTTAAAGCGTT